TTTCCTTCTGCTTTTATTGTTATATTCGCTTTATATATATATATATATATATATATATATATATTCAAATTAGAATCTAGTGTTTGAAATTCTTTTTTTGTTGCCTTTTAATTTGGCTATGATGTCCTTTTAACCATCGAACAGAGTGCTAGGGTTTCTACTTTTGATTTATATAATTCTAGGATAGAATTTTTTTGATAATTGTATTCTGATCCTTAGGTTTTCTTTCATCATTAATTAAATGAAAAATCGTGAGTTGATGGTTATTTCATGAACTAAACAATTTTTCTTTGTTTTCTTCAATTCCGTTGCAAAAATAAAATTCTGTGGTACGCGAATATTGAGCATGTTTATAATTATGATTTTTATTGAGAATATATATATATATATTTATAGTTTACAGTGTTGATTATTAATATTATGTACGTTTTTGTTACTATATTTGCAGGTCCATAGCTTTCCAATATGGGGTTTAATAAGGTTTATCAATGCTTGATGAATATATTTCCGCAGGTACTTCCTTTTACTCATTTTTAATTCAATGCTGTTATTGGATTTTGTTTTATTGTTATATAAACACAGTGTTATAAGTTGGAAATTTTCAAATATGCTTTCTCTCCCTTTTTAGTTATTTTGAAGTCATCTGGTTAGAGTTTAATGGATTACTTCAGCTTTCAGTTTTCTGGATTATATCTGAAATTGTACTCTATACTCTGAAAATATAAGCATCCAGTAAAAAATATTTTTCTTTCACCTTCTGCACAGGTTGATTCACGCATTCTAAAAGCTGTTGCTATTGAGAACTCTAAGGATGTTGATGCAGCTGCAGAGATTGTTCTGTCTGAGATTCTTCCTTACCTGTCTAAACAAATCATGGCTGCTAGTTCTTCTTCACAAACCCAGAGTCCTCAAGTGCAACCAAATGAAGGTAGCTTTTTTCATGATTTACTATGTGAGTTGGTTTATTCTGCACTGTGTTTAGGCTATTTTATTTTTGAGGATTTGCCTAAATCAATTAGTGTATGGAAGGTTTAGCTATTTATCTTTAACTGCTTCTTGTTGTGGATTAGAAGGTAACCGCTATTTTGTCTATGCATGTCTATTAGTGGCTTATTGGGTTTTATTCATTGATTTATTGACTTGTTCAATGTCATATATTACTTGTTGAGCATGTAGCTGTAGATGAGGAAGAAAGCAATCAGTTGAGGCGGCGAAAGGTATTATTGGGGAAAACAGCATGCTCTTCTACAGAACCATTGTTGGAAACAAATGAAGTTGTTGGAGATACTTGTCTTACAGGTGCTGCCAACAATGTGAATTTTCTAGAGGCATCAAATTCAGCAAGTACATCAAAATTTCATGAGAACAACAATGAGGCTGCTCATATTGAAACTGAGGAATTGATATTACTGGGCAAGCCTCTAGAAAACACTGCTGAAATTGGAAAAGATGAGTCTAGTGTCATCTTGAATGCTTTAGGGATTGAGAATACTCTGCTAAGTGCAAATCATGAAATCAAGAAGTCAGGTTCGCCAAGTAAAGACCAAGCCATAGACATCGAAGATGGGTTTGTTAGGAGTCCCCATGTTTCACCAGTCACTTCGGCTTATGAGAATACCTCACCTCTGGAGAATACTGGTAGTAGTGACAGCTCCAATGATGATTTAAATCTTGATGGACCTCTGGATTTGAATGCAGATTTATGCAGAAACAGTTTATTAAAAGGCACCATGGTAGGGGAAGAAAATGCTGTGTCTCTGCTGGTTCCATCATCTTCTCAAGAACAAGTACCAGAAGGCCCAAGCACTTCTCTTCATTCTGAAAGTGGTTCTATGATTCACTCAACTGATTCTGAGAAACAAGGAAGTTGTTCTGTAGAACTTAAATCCCAGCAGGACTCCATTAGTGAAATGGGTGATATTGAAGATGATACCTTTGATCCTGTTGTCAGTAGATCTGGCCAAACATGCAGAATTGATCTACTTGAAGAGATAATTGAAGATGCCAAAAATAACAAGGTACTCTTTGCTCTAAACTTTTTACTTTCTTTTGTAAGTTTTGAAGGTTATTTGGGTATCAGAATGAATCCTATGCGATGCTAACAATACTACTACTTAGTTTGTTGTGTCATTCAATCGTGGCATGAGGAATGAAATATCATGAGCTTCTGATGCTATTGCTGCTATCAATGACGCATTTTTAATATGAAAAGTTGGTTCATTGTTTCTTTTGTTCCTATTTGGAAGAACAGAACCTTAACTTATCGTGTTTTGGTGCAGAAAACCTTATTTCAGGCCATGCAGTCAATTATAAGCTTAATGAGAGAAGTTGAACTTAAAGAGGAAGCTGCAGAACAAGCAAAAGAGGAAGCTGCTAGGGGAGGTTTGGATATTCTTGTCAAAGTGGAGGAACTTAAACAGATGCTGCCACATGCAAAGGAAGCAAATGACATGGTTGAACTCTTGTTAATAACTTGCATTACCAATTATATAATGTGGTTATATGATTCTCGAAAGAGCATGAAAGCTCAGTCATTTTGTTCCTTTTGCAGCATGCTGGAGAAGTATATGGGGAGAAGGCAATTCTAGCTACTGAAGTGAGGGAACTTCAAAGTCGCTTGCTCAGCTTGTCAGAGGAAAGAGATAAATCTCTTGCTATTCTTGATGAGGTATTCTTGGAAAAAATTAAATTGATCATCTAGTAGATATTCAGTATAGAATTTGGTTTGATATCTACCGATAGAATTATATGCTGTAGAATGTTTCATTTGGCTATTTAGTTATCTGTATGTCATAATTTGTCTTGATCTGGGTTTATCAATATGTTTATTTATGTGGTGGCACATACTGAGTAGTTGTAATTTTCGCAAAACATATATTCTTTTCATGTATTGTGCAAGAAACTGATATTTGGTTGAGTTTCTTAATCCTGAGATAAATAAGCACATTGCTTGGAACAGATTCATGACTGAATATTTAGAGATTTGTAATAGATCATCCTTGGAATTTTATGATGCATTTAACAAGAACATAATATTGATACAGATGGCTTTGAGCTTGCTGGAATTTTATGGTGAATTTGGTTTTGATATCAACTGATAGAATTATATGCTGTAGAATGGTTCATTTGTCTATTTAGTTATCTGTATGTCATGATTTGTCTTGATCTGGGTTTATCAATATGTTTATTTATGTGGTGGCGCATAATGAGAAGTTGTAGTGTTTACAAAACACATTCGTTCATGTGTTGTGCAAGAAACTGATATTTGGTTTTCTTAATCCTGAGATAAATAGGCCCTTTGCTTGGAACAGATTCATGGCTGAATATTTAGAGATTTGTAATAGATCATCCTAGGAATTTTATGGTGCATTAACAAGAACATAATATTGATATGGATGACTTTGAGCTTGTTGTATTCTCATCTTATACTTGTATACATTTTACCACAGATGAGTCAAACCCTTGAAGCTCGACAAGCTGCAGCAGAGGAGGTGATGAAAACGGCTGAGCAGGAAAAGTTGGAAAAAGAAGAATCTGCCCTTAATGCTCTTGCTGAACAAGAAGCCATTATGGTGAAGGTGGTTGAAGAGTCTAAGATTCTACGGCAGGAAGCAGAAGAAAATTCCAAGGTAGCATTCATTTCTATGGACTCTGTACTAGTACTTAAGAATTTTAAACAAAAGTTATAATAGATTACTTATTTTGGACTTACCGTATTATATATTTTTGCTTTGCTGCAGTTACGTGAGTTTCTTATGGACCGTGGTCAGATTGTTGACTCCTTACAGTAAGCTTCATCATCTGATTATTTATTTATATTGATTTGCATCCAGCATGTTATCTTATTTTAAGTCCAATTTGTGAGTTGACTAGAAAATTGTTGGCTGATAGGGGAGGTGAGCCAGTTTTGGTTGGTTGTTTCAGTTTAGTTGATATGTTGTCAGTAGTAGTATGAATGTAAAGTAGTGGGGGCCAAATGATTGAATCATATGGTTGTGCCTCTGGTATTCAGGATGAAGTCACACCACTTGATGTCCAACTCCATGTGGTAGGATGGAGCAATGCATGCTTGATATTATTGTCAGTGGATATATTTGAAACTATGTTCTGATATACTTAAGCGATTTAATTTTACCAGCTCTGATTTGTCATTAGCAAGAGGAATTGAATAGTAATGAATGAAATGGTAACATTTTCCATTTCATCATTTTTGCAGGGGAGAAATATCTGTTATTTGTGAGGATGTGAGATTGCTTAAAGAGAAGTTTGATGGGCGTGTTCCACTAAGCAAATCTATATCCTCAAGCCAAACCAGTTGCATCCTGGCCTCCTCTGGCTCATCTCTTAAAAGCATGGCATCTGATCTTGGTTGTGAGCCAGGGGAGAAAGCTAAAACCCCAGAGAAGAGAAGCCCAACCCCATCTGTTAGTGGGCAGTCGCCAAAAAGCAGATCATTAGAGGAAAGATGCAAAGCTGATGGCAAAGAGCTTTTGGAGGATGGGTGGGAAATTTTTGATAGAGATGCTGAATTCTGAGTTGTATAGCGAAGCTACATGAATCATCGATGCAACTTACAAACATCAAAAGGGTCGCCTCCAGTTATAAATGGCTGTTAGAAGTCTGCAATTTTATTTTAATAACCATTTCCTAAGTACTAGGATATTGGATTCAAGCACTTTTTTGAGTGACTTGGAATTTCCTTATCATATATATAGGCATTTTCTTTGAACATTATATTGCTATATTAGTAGCAAAATACTATCGCACTCCTTTTGTACAGCATTAAGTCATGAATAAGTGAGTGCATTTATGCAGGTGCCCTGTTTTTTGTGTATATGTTTAGTGGGCGTCCCACTGAAGATAGTGATCATTTAATCTTGTGGTGAATTTAGTTGGTAGCGAACTTGGGTCAGTTCTTGAATGCGTAACTTTAGTTATGTCCTGCGTCTTGCTGTATACAGTTGGATCATTTCATGTCTAAGAGGAGAAGCAAATTAACATGAACAATCAATCATCCTGGCATGACAACCCATTGCGTTGGCACATAAAGAGAAGCTTGTAGCAGGTGCACTATTTACAAAAAATTGAAGTAGCATGTTAATTTATCCGCTCTGTCTTCTGTAATTCATGTTAAGTTTAGGCATCGCTCATCAATCAGACAACCCCTTCTTCATCTAATTGAAGAAAAAGGAAAACAAACAAACAAAAAAACACCCCCCCACCTCCTCCGCCTCCCTAATTGAAAGCGTGATTTCTGTTATCTAAACTATACACCACCTCCACCTCCCCAAGTCCATTGAGAATTGGATTCCAGACTGAATTGAACTGGACCCAACCCCAAGGCTAGTCCTGCCAACACAGCAATAACACAGTACATCGCCATATAATATAAAGCCTTCCCCGCTGCTCTCTGATTTGCTTTGAACACCTTTGCCATGACCGACCCTTCATACTCCTCATTGAAAACGAGCTTTCTGCCATCTCAAACAAAAAACAGAAGCAGAAACGCAACTGAATTACAAGAGTGGAAGCACCTGAAAACCTTTTTCTTTGCAATTCCTGCAAGTGGCTGAGAGTTGCGTATGGAGGTTGAAAGTTGTAAGGCTGTGGAAGACTTTGAAGCCCAATTTATGGGAAGCCAAAGCAGGTGAAGATATGAGTGGAGCAAATATGTGGAGGGTGACAAATGTTGGCCCCTGGTTCGGTCTTATGGCATTAGGTCCCACTGTTTAAGTAAGAGGACAATCAGGGGTATTAGCTTGTCTGCTTGCCAAACTATCTTGAAAAGGACTTACCATCAACTTCCCCATCTCGGAGAGTCATCTCTGTCCCGCATGCATCATCCATTCATGCTTTACCCTACCTTCATTCATGCACTTGTTACAAATCATCACACTGTACACCAAGTACAAAGTTTGTAGTAGTTAGTTGTTACTTGTTTATTTATTCAACCAAAATTTTGTTTGTTCTGTATTTTGCCATTGTTGCTTGGGTTTTCTAGAGTTTTAGGAGGAAGAAATTGGAACTCTAAACTCTGTTCCGTCTCCTCCTTTAAAGCCTAATTAAAAACCACTTGATAATTAAATCGTGGGGGGGGACAGAAAATCAGAACCGTATAAAAATAGGGCTGCATCAATCAATCATTGTTAGTTGTTAATTAAATGTTTATTTCTTTCAGCATGAGCCAACAACACTAACAACAGCTTTAAATACGTTGCAGGGGTCGTATGACTAAAGGTGTATTTTAACCCACAAAATTGCTGACAAAATCAGCATCACTGAAGGAATAATGAAAGCGAAGTGTCGTTAAACCTTTTTAAAAAATGAAATGAATGTATCCTAATCTTTTTTATTTCTTAATCAAAGGCCAGATGCCTGATGAGTCAACGCCACATTCGAGTCCCAAAAGACTCCTACGCCCTTAAGAAGCTGCTTGCTAAGGGAATGGGCCTCTCTCCCCCCTACGGTACCCACTAATATTAGCCCTCGTAATGGTATTAGGCCTATCCATTGACAATAAACTCATACTCAATGGATTAAAATTTGAAGTTTACTTTAGGTCATACTAGTATTTACAAAAATTGATCACAGGGCCAACAACACTCTTGCTACTCCCCGCTGTCACGTATGCGGTGTCGGCGATAAGGCCAACCGATACACAGTCCTAGTCAATCCGACATGCCGGCCACCTATCATTACCGGCCGTGACAAACCAGTTTAAAAGTCAGTTTCACATGCACCTCATGTTTCATAAATTGCTGTCCTACTTATCCTCAAATGGGGTGCTAAGTCGTGATTCCTCCCTCTCAGTAACAACTTCCCAAGCCCTCTAATGGTGAACACCTCGGGTCATGTCGGGCCATAATTTTCATGTTAATGGGCTGAAGCGTGCCACATCTACTCTTAAGAGAATCGTCGTCTTCGAAAAGGAGATGATTGATGGTTCTGTATGCGGGTCCGTTCCACGTGAGAAACTGTCCCACTGTTGTGGTAAAGATTGGCCTGGGAAAAAGGGTTTATAGCACAAGCTTATCCGATTAAGAAAAGCAGAACAGAAAAATCAGAAGACAATTCTTTTTTCTGGTGATACAATCGTGACCAATATGATGCAACTAATGTATGCTCTCAATTCCATCGGGATTCAAGCTGTGCCCATGGTGATGGTGATGATGATGATGATGATAAGGAAATGCGCACGTGAGAAAGCAAAACAAGTGGGGTATTGGCGACAAAATGGTTTCTAGGTATGAGAATGTTGCTGTCAAATATGAGAAAAATCCCAGTTGTCGGGAGAGATTTTCTTGCATTGTATGATCAAGATTCACAGGAACAGTGAGTTAGTCAAATATAATCAATGCAAATTGCAAAGACTTCGCTACACGTGTGGAAAAGAGAGAGGAGCTTGTTTGTGTTGTGTCCACCATGTGGTAAACAGCCGAGAATTTTTCAATGTAACCAGCAAATTCTTCCATTACTATTAACACCAGCTGCTTGATGTAACCTTTGGGTAAAAGGTTGCGCACTGCAACTGAATATAAGAATAAACGTGACCAGCTGTTTTTAAAAGGAAGCTCACCCTCGGCACAGTCTGCAAATTCTTATAAACTGGACTTGATTGTAAGCATAAATATTAGCTGTTTTGAGGAATCGAGCAATAGGCAGATGGTTGCTTCTGTTCTGTTAATATATAAACTTACTTTGAAGTGGTTCAGGGCTTGGAGTTAGGTGTTGATGCTTTAGAGAGAGGGCGTTATATGGTCATCAGAATCCGCAAATGATTTTCCCCATCCAAAATGTCTGGAACAGTTCTAAATTGGCGCTGTCAGCCATGGGTGACAGAGAAATTCCAGAGAGGAAATTAATAGCTTAAATGCAGCAAAGAAACTGTCTTAATGACAACAATGGAAGACAACTATTCTTTAACTAAAGCAGCGGATGTCATTACATGAGGCATCATCAACATAGATATATCCCAATAGTCAATCCACCAACATAATAGCATACATTATCATGGGCATGGCTAACACTTTAATCTTTACATTCTCTCCAATTTTATCTTCCCTTCCAACTCATCCTGTATCTTTCACGTATCCACTCCCAATGCTTTCTTGATGTCAGCCTGTGCCAAGAAGCAAAGCAGCACAGCAAGAATGAGAATACTTCTATGTTCAAAACAACATAGAAATTAATGTCTTATGCCATAATTAAATTGCACATGTCTCAGGATAAAGGGTGGAGCTAGTACCTCTATGGCCAGTGGTGCGGTGGTTGGGCTATAGCGACCAAGGACATGGCCATTTTTATCAACTAAAAACTTTGTGAAGTTCCACTTTATCCTAGATCCCAGGAATCCAGATTTGTTTGATTTTAAAAACTTGTAGATAGGTTCCGTCTTTGGCCCATTGACACGAATCTATATATGAAAGAAAATTTAGCAGAAAAGAGTAACCAGTCCTTATAGAAACATTATATGTTGATTGAAGATGTAATAAATAAAAAAAAATTATGAGAAATAACCCTACTCATAAGTTCAATTTAAAAACATTTTCCATTATAATTTTAACTATTTTTAATCAATTTTTAACATAATTTGACAACAATACTCTTTAAACAATTTCAGACAAATTAAAATGATTTTGATTTTCTCCATTTCGCCATCTAAACAATAATTTCAAAATTAAATCCCAATTTCTCTCTCTTAGCAAAATAACATCAAAGTATGTGTTTTAGGTCTTTTAGTGTATTGGCTAATTCATATGATCTCAAAGTTAAGGGGTTAAAAATGATTAGATATATATATAAATTAGTACACTATATGATTTTGGTAACTTAAACCTTGATGCAAGCAAACAAATCAATTAGTTATTAAGTATTATTTTTAAGCATTATGTGTTTTTAGACATTGTGTCACTGATTTTTAGATATTACAAAATTGATTTTTAAATATTGCGTGACTTAACCATTGCATATCTGGTTTTTAAGAATCGTATGACTGGTTTTTAGATATTACGTTAAGCAATGCCTAAGTCACATAATGCCTAAACCTAGTCACACAATGTCTTATTAATTAATCATGCAATGCCTATCAACCAGTCACACAATCTTATATCAACCAGTCATGCAATCCCATATAAACTAATCACACAATGCCTAAAACTAGTTATGTAATGTCCAAAAACCGATTACGCAATGCTTAAAAACTACCAAAACTACTGAATTTTATTAACAAAATTAATAACTTCAAATAATATATCATATTCTATTTAACAACATAATCAACAAATATGCCAACTAGACAAAGAATGCTCAAAATACTCAAATTTTTTTTTATATATCAAAAACCACTCCAAAATGCTTAAAAATGCTTAAAACGCTCAAAGGTTTTTCTTCGTATATCAAAAATCATTTCCAAATACTCAAAATGTTAAAAGTTCTTCTTTCTGATAAAAAAATACTCCAAAGATAATGGTTTAGTGATGAAAGCTCAAAGAGCATAAATCGGTTTGAGGCACAGACCTACACATATGAGTTAGTTTCATTAAGGGTAATTTTATCCACAATTAATTTTTTTTGACTAAAAATAGTAAAAATTATAAAGAAAGCTATTTTCAAAAACAGCTTATGTATGAGGGGTATGTCTGAAAAAACCCCTATATAAAAAGCAATAAGCATGATGAACAGCCAAGCTACTGCTAAAATTGCAGAAATAAGAGCTCTGTTTTTTCTGAGAAAAGCAGAAATAAGAGCTTGAATCCCACTTGTAAATAATCAAATCAACATGACAAGTATTAGAACTACTGAAGGTGCTAAAAGACAATAGAACCGTCTTAATTAATTGGCTAGTAGATTCCCAAAAGGTCAAAAAAGGCCCTAGGAAACCTTTATGCATTCCTCAGAAATTGTATGAGTTAGACATCTGCATTGAAGTACGTATGAGTATAAAATTTTATCATCATAATTCTTCAAAAATGAGTTTTGTGATTATATCTTTCATGCTCAATATGAGCAGAATTCGAAGTCTCAGTCTCATACAAACTACCTCACATGTGGAGTCATGCTCTCAAGAACAAAATAGAAACATTATTAGACCTTGCAAACTTTGCCTAGGAGGGCTATTAATCAGAAGTCATTGGACAAGAAACCTTTTTTAAAACTTTGCTTGCAGAAGGATCAGATTGTGTAACTGAAATCCTGCTTGGACTATTGATCATAGAAATTCAGCTTGGATTACCAACCTCCAGTTGAAAACCAGAAATATTTTTACATTGGCCACCCCCAAGAATATTAACATTTGAATCATAACCTTTCAATTCTATATAATATCAGCTCTCAAATGTACCAATATCCACCCAAAGGAAGGGGAGGACTCTGGTCAGCCACTTCCAATCTCATGCTTTATCTCAGCTGAGAGTAAAGGCCAAAGTGACTTTTGAGTCTATGTGTTACTAATAAGATTTAGAAAATCACATCCCTGGTAAAGAACATTTCCTATCAAATGCACAAACACAAACAACAGATATATCAATGTTAAAGCAGACTCGAGCAAATACTGACTCCTGTTTCTTGGAGCCAGAAGACAATTAGGCTTCAAGAACAGTTTTTCTTGGAAGAAAAACAACAGTTTCCTATTAATAGTCCAGCATCTACCATATTTTGTGAGTCTATATGTTACTAATAAACACTTTAAGAAATCACATTTGACCCTGGCAAAGAATATTTCCATTTGATAGTCCAGCATCAATTAAGCAGAAAAGGCAGTTAAATGTAGTTCTAAATAGCTGCTTAAATCTGTTAAGACATGCTTCCTCAGCTCAAAAAATGTGTTGTCCAAAATTGAACACAGTCCAAGCAAGAACCATACACACTGCAGCTTGCATTGTGAACATAAAAAACAAAAAGTCAATGAGTTTCTTTTAGAAATACGGTTCTGAATGTGCTTTGTCCTCCATTCCAATCAACTTGAATCACAAACAGTTACAGCACATTAAGGAACTTCAAGATCTAAGTAAAGATTTCATATAAGTGCACAAATATTTGAAGAAGAAAGTCGTGAGATTGTCACAACTGATGATGTTTAGGCAACTTTCAAATACCATTCAAATTTAAGATGCGATGTTGGAAGCTCTAAACACATATAAAGCCTCTATTCTTCTACTATTAAATTTGTCAGGAGTTGAAAAGGAAACAGAGTATATTTAAAAGGTACATCTAAATGGTGGCAAATGCCTGAAGCAGTATAAGAGAGAACCATCAGAGTCCTATCAACAGTTCACCTATTTCTATCTTCTTAAAGTAAGCAACATGGGTTGTTAAGGTAATTTGATAAAGGCAAAACCGATCAACAAATGCAACCACAATTAACCCAATCAATGGTCAAATTCAAGTAACTCAAAGCAACATCTCACTTCGCCATCAGTAAATCAGATACTACTTCTAACAAAAGACGTCTGTTATCCGATGTTAAATATATTACATTACCTTTCGAAAAATAGGATATTCAGCCTTGTATCTTGTACAAGCGAACTGTTGTACTTCTTGGTCTGTACCAGGTTCTTGCTTCAAAAACTGATTGCATGGGAATGCCAAGATCTCTAGACCTTCAGTCCGAAAATAAAAGCAGCTTCAAGTCTTAATATCTTAGGCAGAAAATTGTAAATAAAGTTAAAATTCATCCACCTGTTTCATATGACCAAATTGCCTAAACTGATAATTACAAAACCAAAATATCATATCTTCATAGAAAAGGTTGTATACAGCGCTATGAAAAAGAATAAAGCCACTCGGGAAATAAAAAGAAAGAAAGACAAAAGTCACAATGGCAGCCTTTGAAGACCTTTAAAATACAGAAACGAATTTAAGAGCGGTCTACACAGATACAAAACTAAGAACATAATTACGCATGATTGGTCTATTAATTTCCACTCTTTTTTTAGAAAAAAGAAAAAAGGAAAGAGTAAAGAAAAGAGAATAAACCTTGATCCTTGTATTTGCCGTAAAGATCAGTCAACTGGGTGTAATTCGAGTCAGTAAACCCACTGTTCACAATCACAAATGCATAGAATTCAGAAAGAAAATCAGGGAAAAGAAGAACAAAAGAAAAGAAAAGTTAAAAGAAGGGAAAATGGAAAGAGAGAAAAGGACCATTTAGAAGCAACATTAACCACAAGGAGAACTTTTCCTTCGTATATGCTAAGGTCCACGTCCTGACCTTTGTTATCCTACAACACAAACAACAGAAAAAACCGCCCCAAGAAGAGAAATAATCATCAAAACCATTTCGCAATTTTAATGGTAGAAGCAGAACAAGAAAAAAGGCAAAAGAACCTTGACAGTAAATTGATGGATTGATTTCTGAGGGACCGATTCAGAAGCCCCCATTTTGGTTTCTGATAAGCAAAACAAAAGGAGCTCCCTTTCCTATGGGATTGAGTGGTTCCTAAAGTTAAACGAATTAAAGATTTTTGGGTATATTGTGCCTTGCTCTATTTGTCTTGTATTTTGTCGACTGTTTCTGGGCGGTTGGCTTAAAATAGACGAAAACAAAAGGAGGGGAGAAATTGCCTTATTAGCTGGGCATGTAAAGAAGCTTCTGCAATAATAACAGCGTTTATTAATAATCTATATCTTAACAAGGAAACTCAAGTTCAAGATTTGAAGCAGCAGTAAATATAAATATATATATATATATATATATAGATTTTTTGGGTTAGAGAATAACTAAATCCAATCTGAAACGCTCTTTGAAATTTTGTGTTTTTAATGATTATTATTACTATTATTATTGATTCTTCCTCTTTGATCTTATCGAATCACGCGGTGTTTTTTACTGTGTTCAGTTTCACTCACCTTTAGACATCGCAATCCCTGAAAGTTTCAAATATGGAAACGTAAGATAAAGCAAACTACAGCGAAATCCACCCGGGACTCAAAAGGAAATTCATTTGATTCACAGGTCATTGAAATGGAAAATCGCCCGACACTGACAGAGAGAGAGAAAGAGTGGTTGCGGCCTCTGCCTGCAAGAGTGGCACTAATTGAGCGCACAACAAACGATCAAAGTAAAGGCAAACGCCGACTTGGTCAACCGGTTCCTGACCTCATTTATAATTTTTATATATTTATTGAAAACAAAAGCCAAAAAGAAATGTGGGTATAACTAAAATATTTTGGATTCTACATTGCTGAAAATGATACACTCGACTCCCGCTTCTGTCCTTCCACACACAATAATAAATCGGCATCCAGCTAACTAGATTATATTCAGCTCATTCTGATCCACTTAAACCACTGAAATTCTGCCAGTGTATTGACAAAATGGACTGTTTACAGCCAAAATGGGGTTGTAAATATAAAAGGGCAAAAAAATATGGTATCCAAGCAATGGCCCAATAAAAATTTTGCTCACGTTCCTATTGGGGAATTGATGAAATAAATAATGCAAAAAAAAAAAAAGTAAAATAAAATAAAATAAAATTTTGATACATGACAGCCTAGAGTTAGATACAGCTCGCCCCAATCTCTACACTAAGGCACATCTCACTATCCTTGCCAGTTGCGGTAGAGGTGATAGGATACTATTTACAAAACCAGCATGCCAACATGCTGATCTTCGGCTTCAAACCCATATCTGTTGTATATTTGTTCCTTGCATCGCAAACAACATAGGGCCAGAAAAGCACTCAACTCTTTTCAACAAGCCGCACAACCCAGGTCAAAAAATAGGGTTTATACCTAAAACAATAAGTAACCAACAAGGATTTTGATGAGAAAGTAAGCAATTGAAAAAACAAACCTTCAAAATAAGTAATGGCAATTACATACCAATTAGAGCAGCTCAATAATATTTGGTCATCTTGGCCACCAACCGCTTGGAGCTGAAACACAAAAGATATTAAGAACCTGCCCTTAACAAACACCTACCTAAATGCAGCGTCTCTAGTGATCAATTGACCAAATCAAGATGCATTCTAGCAAGCATGAAAATGCATGAGTATGCTCTGTTTTTAACTTTTAAAGCACAATCTCACAGGAGAAATGCACACCTCTTGATCCAACTGGGACCACACCTTCTGGAGGTGGTCTGACAGGAAAGGAGTTTCTGTGATTCATTGCAGGGGGGTGGAAGCCCCATCCTTGGTTTTGCAACCTTGCTGGCTCACACTGGGGCCCACCATATGAACCATGGCCATATGATGCTTTTGCTTTATCAGCATACCGCGGACCTAATAGGAGAAAAGATAACATAATATACAATCAGGAATGATCAGAGAAACTGAGGCATTAACAGTAGACTATTCCCCATCACCTTTGGTACAAAATATATTTAAGAACATTACCGAGGAAGGGTTGTGGAGGAAATCTCCAGCTCTCTCTAAGTTCATTTGGGGCCGGTCTCATTCTCTCATGGCTATTATAATAATTTCCACCATCAGCGTTCAGTGAATAGTATCTGTTGGAGTAGGGAGGAGGTGGGGCATCCCTCATCGAATTCATATGCTGGCCTGAATTAACATATGAGAACTGATTTGATTGTGCAGGATGAGGAGGTCGTGGAGGGTAGGCATTGTGATGGAAGTTAGGACCATCAAGTTTTTGAATATTATTCACTGGATGTACAGGGTAACTGTTGAAAGAGGTATTACAATCGAAACCTGCATAGGGCCTGGAAGATCTCTAGATTCAGGCCATGATAAGGGCTGCATTGGTGCACATTGCTGAATTAATTCTGGGTGCAACTGATGGTGGAACCGCAGATCGCAAATCATCTGCCTATTCTGCAAACATAATCCAGACAAAAAGAATGAAGTAACATAAAATAATAATGAAATCAACAAGGCAATACAAACAACCAGGACCTACATGTACACCGGTATGACTTGTTGAATCAACACCATTAGCAAAGGGATCAGATGTAGGACAAGGAGGATGGGAGGGAGTGGGGGTGGGGGTGGGGGTGGCGGTGGAGGTGATGATGGCAGTGGTGGTGATGATGGAGGCACATCATGAGGTAAAGGAGGGGCAAACGGCAATGGGAAATGCTGATCACACTGCTCTAGTGAAGTTTGTGCAGTATTTACTCCAGCAGCACCACTGGTTGAACCCATTTCAATCTCAGGAGCAACATCCTCCATTTCAAGTTCACCATCAACATCTTCCAAAATATGTCTGCGCTTTTCAACTACAGGTTTTGCCACTTGTTCTTCAGGGTTTCAGAATAGTGTTCTGGAGTAACAGCCTCAAAACTTCCTCCATCAGAATCACTACCTTCATCCTCATCCTTGCGCATTCGGGGCATACAAAATCCAGGAAGCTGGAAACTAGAATTGCTGAGGCAACAAAACATATTTTACAAATAAAATTCTAGAAAATTTTTAAATAAATCATAAGTTAAAGAGATTCCATAATACAGACCTGCCATACTCATCCACAAGCATGCCCTCCATGTCCCTGACAGGATCATCCAATGCTCTCTCTGTTCTAGCTGAGCGGCGAGAAAAGGCACCACCAGAAGATGAAGCACTAAGTGAATCAAGTTCCCGTATATGGTGGCGAACAACAGACTCTGGAAGGATTCTTCTTTCCAGCCAAAGCTTCAAAACCTATTAAAAATTAAGTGGGTGAGAGGCCCCCCTCCCCCAAAAAAAAAAACAGCTAAAATCACTCACCTTTAAGCACTGCCGACGATTTTCTTGTGCACTAGGTCCAGGGGGAGCTGCAGCATAGAGTAGACGAGGCAGTGTCGCTTGAATAGCTGAAGGGTAGATGCCACCAACATCACCTGGATACCAAATAAAAACTTAGCCACATTCATAACTCATATAAACTAAACACCTATCATACTGCTAAATGGCATCTTCACCAAGTCATTAGTGAATAAACACAAATCATACCTTTCAAACCTCGGGAGCACTGAGTAATGGAATCCACAAGAAAGAACAAATCCACTCTTCTGTGTAAGCTTGACTCACGTTCCAAATTTCGAGTAACAATTTCTACAACCTAGGTTTAAATGAAGAAATCAATGCATTTTAAATAAAATAAGATCTTTTAGAATATGAAGATGTATCATCTGTACATATGCTCTCAGTTCACAAAGGCTCCCTTTCAGCCTTCACTATAATACACTTTTAAGTCTTAATAAATTCCCATAAGGGGGCCTAAACAACTTTTAATGCCAAAGTTTACCTATGTCTAAGTTCAATTTAAAAGTGCTGACAATGAAGGAGTAATGCCGTTGATAAACGCTTACATAATCTAACTAAAAAGAGAACTTTAACAATTTTACCCCAAATATTTAACTACATGAACTTCTGCATATAAAAAGATATTAAAGCTATTATAAAACTCAATTGTCTTTATTTATCCTTAAATAATCACATGGACTTGAAACAGATGATTAGGGACAAAAGGCTTTCACATACAACGAGCAGTGACATGTTGAACTAATCAAGATAACCAGGTCCGAGGTTGTATTAAGTGTTATAGGAATGTAATTAATTTAAGAGAAATCACTCTCAAGAATAATACAAAAATCTGTAAATAGAGGTTATCATCATTACAGAAACAAAGGGCAAAACATCCAGAAGCGCGGATCTACAATGAATTTAATGCTTAAAAAAGCTAATAGATTACAACTCACAAGAATAGTCCAGTAGTTCTTTTATACTACACAGCAGTACAAGAAATTCAATTTAAAAGAATAAACTGTTTGTTTGGATCTTGAAATGTTTGAGAGCAGGAATAATATCAGTTTATCACTAAAAAACGAAAAATGCTTTATTTTCAATATGGTTTTCCCTTGCCTCATATTCTGCCAGACCAAACAGTGCATGATAAGAACACAAGTTTAAATAGACTTACCATTGGAATTTATTTGGCTTGCCCTTTACATAATTTTTGGTTTATTAGGATGACCCTTTTTCCCAAACCTAACAATTATGAAGATTCCTAATCTAATTAGGTTGATGAGTCACCATCTTTTCAGACTTGAATAACTTGCCAATTCTGGAAATTTGACTATTAAAAAATTCATGTAAAATATATGAATAACGAAATTATCAGGTTTTTATTCTGTCCTTTTTCATTCTTAACTAAATATCAATCACTACAATGTCCTGGACTTTCCTTCTAAAACTAGATTCTCTACCACAGTCCAAATAAATCCTCTTCTGGTATCTCACAAATCCCTCATGATTTTTAATGCCACTAATATCCAAAGATGTGATTGAAACACTGATGTTATAGTGGTAAGAAGATTCCAGTGTTAAAGAACCTTATATGAAGCCACCTGTGTTGACATAAAACATCAACATATACAACCCTAATTGGTTCCCATATTCGTAGTTTCTCTTACTGCAGTTGCAGAGCATAGCACTATAGTTATCTTGAGTGTAAACCCAGACAGATTAATCAAATATGTGCTGAGTTTGAAAGTTGGAGGAAGATTAAAGATTGCCATATGAGAGGAAAGCTTAAACAGGAGCAGGGGAAAAAATCCACCCAGATTTCCTTTAGATGATAACCATAATATAATAAAGTGCCTATGAATATTAAAGTTGATCTCAACTTCACATAAAATGACTCCACTTTTGCACAATTGCAGCAGTTGAGTGAAACTAACTATTTAATGTACTTTTGCAGACCTGCATGACAACTATAATTCAAACAAAAAAATAAATAACAAAAAGGAAAGCAGAGAAATACTACCTTAGCAGAGACACCAAACTTTGCACAATCAATTGCTATGCGTGTTGCACGAGCAATGCTCTCCTTTGTCCTCGTTAAGGTTGCAAGCATATTCTCAAAGGATGACAGAGCAGCATGTGCTTCGGTGTAATTACTGCACTTACTGACAGATTTTGGTCTTTCAGAAGCGGCAGAGTCAGCTTTACCTTCATCGTCAGCAATTGAAACACATAAAGATTTGTTGTGACAAGAATGCAAATTTGGACTACAATACCCATTGCTTCGAATAATATTAGCACTCTCTGAAGTAGAAACATGGCAAATTGAAGCATTGGAAGGAGAGACCCTAGCAGGAGAATCTACTCCATCAGCTGAAGATGAACTTAACTGGACACCTACAACATCCTTGTCGGAATTGTCATTACAAATCAAACTAAAAGTTGCCTTCTGCCTTTGTTCAGGTAGGATATCTTCCATAAGCTCACACCTAAGTCAAACAAGAAAAAAATTAAAAAAACATATTTACGACAGGACCTTTTGGAAAATTCAATTCTGTTATCAGATTTATGTTAATATGAGCATCATAACTATTTAATTTGCTTGGTATGGTCGTGCTTGTATTCCAAAGGGCTAAATTAAAGAAACCACTTTTCACGATTGTAGGTGCAAAGTATGCAGTTAAGTGTTGAAATTTCATGTTATATCTTTAAGAACAAAAATAACCCAATATTGTTTCACTGAAAAGCTGTAATAAAAAGAAGGCAAATATGCTTACATGCTGTTGACTAAGCTGCTGTCATCAGTTTGAGACTTCAATGAATCACTTTTCTCCTGATTGGTATGCTCAGCAGTGCACTTAAACACATTTGAACCATCCTGAGGTGAAACTTTACCAGTTTTCTCAGTCCCTGTGACAGGATCTGAACTCATGTCAGCATGTTCTGAAGTATTTAATTGTTCATCAGGATTTTCTGCCCTACAATTGCTCAAGCCAACAGGTTCAGCATCACGATCATCCTTTGAAGACAACTGCTGATCTGTAGAACCACAATTGGGTCTGAAACTAGCCTGGCTTTTGTCAGGATTAAAGGATGGGTGTTCTAAATTTTGGCCTATATGACTATCACAACTAACGTGGTTCATAGGCTCCACAAAGACATCTTTATGGAAATCATGCCTTTGATTTTTAGGACTCTTCTCAGGTTGACAGCAAATATCTAGTTCCAAAGAAGCTTTGGCACATTTTTCCCACAGTATTGGGTTTGATCTAGAAAAGTTGCCAGAATCACTATTCACAAGCAAATCCATGCCACGTTGCTCTAACCCATTAGCTTCTTTGTCGTCAACTGCTGTATGAGAGCAACTCCTAATTGGAGAACTATGACATCGATCATCTAATGTTTCCATGGTTGGTGAATGTTCAGCACATGCCTGAACTTCTTCAGCAGCATTAGCTGACATAGCTTCCAAAGCACGATGGAGACGTTTAGATGGAGGCAGCGCAGCTTCACCACCTGCCAAACAGCCTAGTTGATTTCTCAGGACTTTCCAAGGTTCTGGCCCACTTTCTTGAACTTGAGTGTCATCCTTTGAAGGTGATATATTAACCAAAGCTCCCTTCAACACTAAAGAGTCTCTATCAGCAGGAGAATCATTGCGGCAGCTAGATGATGGACTCATCTGCTCCAATAAATTGACTGCACCTTCATTAACAGGCTTTTCTTCATTTGGTGAAGAACTAGTGAACTCCTCTTCAGCAGCTGACAGTTTGCCCATGCGAACCCTAGCTCTTTTCACCAATGGTAGATGCTCATCTCCATCATCTTTGGAATATTTCTCATTTAAAATTTCACATGTATTCTGCAAATTTTTCCTAGTATTATTGATTCCTAAATTCAGATCACCTTCTGCATCCATTCTAGTAGGACCCTCAGCAGAGTCATGATTTACTCGCTTTCTAAGTGGTTTCCTTTTCTTCTTAATGACAACTGTCTTTATTTGGAAATCAAGCCCTTTGCTCAACTCAACATCTCCCTCCAAACACTCAACAACGGTCTCAGAGTGTTCAGGTTTACAGCTAGAATCCATAGTGCTGCCTTCGTTCAAGCTAATAGCATCAGAATCAACAGTGGCAATTTCAGACCCATTATCATCAATGCTACCATTCGACATTAACGCAGATGAGTCCACATCATCACTTTCAGAAGCATCTGTAGACTTTCTGACTCGTTTGTTCCTCCTTAGGGATCCATCCTGGATCACATTAGCTGACACATCAGCCGCAGTCCTAACATCATTAGATGACATCATAAAATTCTGGAATCTAGAGGACTCCACCCTTGATGAGCTTCTAGCCCTTCGAACTGGTGGTGCCTTCTGCTGTGCAACAGATTTTTGAGATCGTAAACTTCCAGATCTTTTTCTTGATGAGTATGTAGTCAATACAGGTGTTTCTCTGACCAACATCTTATCTGGAGCTTGCTCTGACACACATTCTTTGTCAAACAGAGCATCAATTTTTGCCTCAGCTGGAGCAACCTCAGTTGCATCACTTGGATCATTTCGATTTGTCACGGCATTTGAACTTTTTAATCGCAACTCTACTGTTGCCTCACAGGTTTCAGTCAGATCCCTTGATGCAGATGAGTCCACTGAGTTACCATAATTCACCTGAGTAACTCCATCAGCAGAATTATAATCATCAACCTGATCCTGTTTCTTTGACTTCTCATAACTGTCAATAATTTCCTGGACTGCACGTACAAAATCCGCACCCTTCCCCTGACGTTTGATCAAAAGAGATTGTTTCTTCTCTTCAGTAAATGCTTCAACATCAGCAGGATTACAGAAGGCTCTGCATGAGAAAATATCCATATGAGAACTAACATGATCCAAACTAAGCTACGGGAAATTATATATGAGGAGCATAAGGATATAGATGAGTTAAAACAACCAACAAGTAGAAATATCCAAATAACAAAGCCCAACTGAGAAAAAGGATTACAAAAATGCTACAAAGTAACTATTATAGTCCCCATCAACAATATATAAATAAAAAATATAGTAGCTTTAATAGCACAATAGAGTTCCATGTGTCTAATTCCTGAGCGCAGCCGATTCAAAATTTATTAAAATAAATAAATTAGTATACAGAATTCATTGGATAATTAAACTCTTATCATACATACAGGTGCTACACATAAAAAGGAAACCATTCCTGTACATACCCCCCCCCCTTTCATTTTTTAAAAGGTTTCACAAATCTTTCACATAAAAAATGATACAAATGCAATACCAATAGGTTAAAGAAAGCATGTTAAGATACAGCTGAAAAATATGCTAATGAACTTCCGAACCCACACAATCAAATGGCTATAATTTTTGCTAGTCTATGTAGATTTCTGAAGTTAAAGACTAGATCTTACCCAGCTGTATCGTAGACGACATCAACATCATCAAATAACTAGATGACTTTTACTAAATCTTAAGAACATTACCACCAATGTTTCCAGATACTTCATATTCTAGGAATTGTTTTCCAGCATGTAAACCTTCCCTTTCAAGGTATCTCTATTGAGTACAAAAATGGTACAGGAACAAATGTGACAGCCAACAAACAGAAAAGATAATGAGAATGGCAGCATCCCAACTGATAATACATCATGTCCAGATTTGAAACCCTCCAAAAAGTCCGTTTTCAGATTACAGTAGCTCTACCCTTTGAAAAACCAAGTATTGGTCCTCTATATGAAAACTTAAAATTCATCATCATGTATATTCTACAATAAAGTGGGAGAACCAAAGACAGCCCAAATAAAGCATAAAGCAGATAATTAGAAAAAAACAAAGAAAAGAAGATCCAATTTACAATCAGTGAAAGACCACTCATATAACCAGTTATTGAGGCCTACCAGCTTTAACAACATAATCTTTAACTCAATATTACAACAATATGCAGTAATGAACTAAGTTCATAAGGAGTTTCAAAATTTTTAAAATAAAAAAAATATATAAGCAAACTTCATATACAGATGCAGCAATGCTCCAGTGAAGAGTATTTAATTGTAATTAGAAGGGTTATCACCACCTTGCAAAAGACAATACGCAAAACAAGAATTTTACCAGCCAATGACCAACATCACTCAACATAATAGAAAACAGAAAATGGAAACTTATATCTACTCTGTTCTTGCGTTCCATCCCTACATAAAAAAAAGAACCAATTGAATGATGGGATTGACTAATGCAAAAAGCTAAGAAAGCAGTTGAAGCAGCAGTGAAGTGACAGGACGGTATTTGCCCATTCTTGAGCACTTCTGAATTGCAGGGTTTTGGGAAAGCAACATCACTAATTTTCGGTCAATGCCACATGTATCATACCTTATTTCTGTATGTATTCAAACACTAGATTTAAGTTGTCTAAAATGAGGTTTTACTAGCTCTATTTTGATAGGTCTCTTAGAGAGATATCCTTTCTTCTTCGCCTCATCAAATTCAACATTTTATAAATTCAAATTCCCACTTTTATGAAGCTCCTGTACAAAACAGTCTCTTGCAAGTATAAATAAAATAAGACATACACCACTTAGCTGCCATATCTCACCTTCATCCTACATTTGAGCTTGGTGTGTTCTATACCATATCAGTGATTATGCTTCTAAGAACTCAGGAGCTATCAGAATAATTTCAAAATTTGTTATATAACAGTTACCTGCCATATCCTCACCATATCTTCATCCTACTTTTAAACAATGCCAGTTAACTCTCATAAATTACTAGTGTTTATGTTTACTATAGCCCAGGAGCTATGAGCATATCCAAAATCATTGTGCAAGCGAAAAGGTAGATCAAAAAACTCCTATCCACTACAACAAGAACCTAAAAGTCAATAACTACTACCACAGTGTAATAGCTGAATGTATAACCTAAACGTCAACTTTAACATATTGTTCTATGTTGGAGTCAAATATGCATAAAGCTTGCTATACTCTAAAGAAGTCAACACAGACCTTGGAGTTCAATAGCACATAACCGCCACCTCCAAGAGTAATTACAGGAAAGGATAGTTTAAATTCCTTTCACATTATCAAAGTATATATTGCATCAAAGGTCAACATGCATTCACCCATCCAACACCCCAAGTAAATTCATCTCTACCAAGTTTATAGATGTAATGGTTTAACTAATTCAAATAAACAAATCAAAAGAACTTCCCCTTGAGACAATTTGTACGATAAAAGAAAATAAAAGCACGAGAAGCCGAGAATGTACATGCTTCCATAGTTGCAAATATTTTATAAATACATCAACTTAACTCTAGACAACTTCCAATCCTACAATACAAACTAATGCACAAAAAGAGTCCAATTTAAAATGTCTTAATTGAGCATTCAAACACCCATATCTGGCTGCACACACTAGCACTCATTACTAGATCATAAACATTCAATTTAAAGATAGATGATTATCTATAATTTAAAAGATACCTTATAGATTTACGTATGGACAGTGAAGAAAGGAAATTAATTCATCCATCTCCAAATGATTATGCTTTTCCCTTGGTAACAACAAAATATCGCCACCGTTGACATGGGTTAGGTGGTTAGCACGCTGGGGAAAAAATATTACTAAACAATGGATCCCTCATCATATAAATATACTGAAGAAGAAGAAGAGGAAATGAAAGTAATGATGATGATAATGTGTTGTCAAAAACTTGAAACAATAATCTTAACAAGAATACCCAAATGCTCGTAGACATCAAGGACATGGTCACTGAAATTATATTACCAATGCTGATGATGACAATGGATTGTCAATAGAGTTCAATAAATCATCTAAACATAGAATGTCACACACTTTTACACATCAAGGACATGGTGAAACCAAATTATCTATTGACGATCATGATAATAACATATAGATCAATAAATCATCTAAACAAGAATGCCAAAAGATTATCTACAACAAAGACAGAGGCCACCTACAGTATCTTCCTTTGAGAACAAAATCAATCAACTCACATAAGTCACCAAAAATATTTGACCATAGTACACAACTATCAACAAGAAACACCAAAAACTAAGACCGTAGAATTGCAACTACGCATGACTATTAATAATTTAACATAAAGACAAAAAGGGGGCATAAAGAGGAACACAAAGCAAAAGGATGAACTGAACAGACTAATAAACTTGAAATGTACACTTACATTTGCTGGGTTCCAAAAAAGTACACCAGAACTTTCTTCCAATCAGATGAATAGCCCCACTTCTCTGGCTCGCTTACCTGCCACCAGCAATCAGAAATATAAGCCCACAAGTAGTGATTATACAACTGAAAGAAACAAAAATAAAGAAAATAAATGGGGAGGAGGAAAATATAGAAGAAAACAAACAGCAAAAAGACTACAGGATAGGTTAGTAGAAGATAAAGATGACAAAACAATCTTAAAGAGCAAAAGTTAAATCCACAGCCTCTAAGTAGAATTTAGAACCAAGGGTTCGATTTTGCCAAAAACAGTTCTGCCAACAGAATTTCTCATTTAATTTTCTAATAAACGCATTCAAGTTTCTAAATTAACGAAATCCATGCATATCATCTCCTTCGAGTCACAAAAATTAAATTAAAAATGGTCAAACATTAAATATGCAAAAGAAAAATAAAGCCGACAAAGGGTTCCTCCTTTTTAATCAACGATCAACAAAGAAGCAAACCCTAAATAGAAGAATCAATCATGCCACCTAAATAGAAGATCATTTAAACCTCACATGCAGCAAACACTACGGCAACAGCATATTATCCAACATAACCAAGATTTTCGAGACATCAAAGATAGAGAAAGGATAGTGATAAAATTGTAGGCATACCGTGGCAGGCCAAGCAGGGAAGCCTTTGACTTTAGCGAGGACAAGATCGCCGACTTTCCATTGGCGGCGAGCGGCAGCGGCAGCGGCCGCCTTACTGGCGCCCTTCCTTCGGCTGGGCGCCATCGCAGAACCGATTAAACTATTATCCCGAACTCAAAGGCACGCCAAAATCGCCCGAAAGGCGTAACAGTTTGGCACTCTCTAGGGTTCCGGCGCAACAATTTGGCATGAAATTTTGAAGGCATTTGAAACGCCCCCCAAATTAAAAGTGAGTGAGCAACTCAGTCTGCTAAAAAAAAAAGAAACCCTAATATTTTGTTCAAGAAAAAGGAGTTTTTTTTTTCTTTTTTTGGTTTGTTTGGGTATTACTGGGGGTTTTTGGAAATAAAAAGATAATCACGCAAGGAAAATACAAAGATATCGAGGATTTGAAATGGGGAGGTGAGGAAAGTGCTAAAATACGCAGGTGGGGTATAGGTTAAGAGTAGGAAGGGGGAAGTGCTAAAGTGCACGATAGGGGGGCGGTGGTACAGATTAAGAGTGAGTGGGAATCTGGTGGGGAGGGTTGGGGAAGGCGTATGCAAATCCACGTGACTTACCCAACTGACAGGAGGCAACAAGGCAATGATCACTCAAATCTTAAAGGACCATACTAAGGAGTGGGCTCTCAACCCACCCCACCCAAAAAAAAACCAGATCCAAAGAATACTCTTGTTATGAACACAGCCACGGGTTTGGGTTCTGGGCCTACAGGCTTTTTTAGGCCCATTTTTGTACTTTGTGGTTCTGAAAGGCTGGTTTGGATCTAATGCCCACCGCCATTCCTTCATCATTGGTTTATAATGCAAAACTGAACAATAGTAGACGTGGTCAACCTAACACAGTGGAAAAGTTCGGACGGCGGCCAACATAAGTCTCTGAAAAGTCAAAACATTTTAAACGCGTAGCTAGGTCGCCACCGCCATTGCAAACTAACTCATAGCCAATTGACCTCTTATCAAATGTCAACCTTCTCGGCTCTCGCATTAATACTCTCCATACGCTTCAACTCCCAGCATTTTAAGCAGGGAAAAGTCTGGGAAAGCCAAAGAAAAGTAACAATGGTGATCTTGCCAAAGCCAAATCCCTACACTATCAAATTGCAGCCAAATAATAACCCTTTTTCCATGTCCAGTTTGGTGTCCGTTGGCACAGGGAAACATGCACCAGCTCGCATTGCCATTGTCACAACGCTAAGTACATCGTACCAAACCAAAAGCCTGGGTCGGTTCATCAACAGCAACCGCGTGCTTGAAGAACCATCTTCAAGGCGGGGATCTCTTTTAGCGGATCAAACTTTGACAACAAGAGATCTTGGAGAGAATGAAGGCAAAAGTGGGTATTCAACAAAGCTGAAAACCAAGCAAAATGATCACGAAGAATTCGAGAAAGAGGTCGAAAGTGTTATCTGCAGGCTGAAGGCAGCTGTAGAAAGGATTAGAGAGTTGGAGATACAAAAGGTAATGGGAAGAATGTCCGATGAAGATAGATTATTGGTGGAGAATACGAGTAGAGAAATCGTAGACAAGTTTTTGCGGCGGCCCCTTCATTATTTAAGAAGCGGCAATGGAGATTCGGAGGAGCAGTTGAAGGACTTGAATTTGCTAATTCGTATGCTTGATAAACTATGCATCGAGGGAATACCCAGAGCTAGCAACCATGTTTTATGATTCTTTATTCTTTCTTCTTCTTTTCCATTTTTTTGAAACATCTGTCAATCATGAAGAATCATTCAGTTGATTCATTCTTTTCTAGCCAAAAGATCATAAATTATAAGAAAAAATTGAGAAGTCGTTTATTTCATCTACAATGTAAGGCCATGTCCTTTGTAAGAAAAATGGAGAAGTTATACACTGACATCTTGATTTATGGTTAGAACACTAGAAGAACAGTTGGTTTGCCTCCTTCCTTATTATTACTGATTATTAAAAATGGTATACAGCTGTGACTCATACCATGATATTTCACGTTGGATTAAAAGGTGGCTGCCATTCCCATACAAGAAATTGCATGGATCAAATTTGGTCGATGATGAACCTTACTTTATGTTTGAAATTAATTGCAAATCAGTATATATTCATTTGGCATGACCCTGTCAAGCATGAAAAGTCGTATACATATGTTCTAACGACTCCATCTCCGAGCTTAAGTTTTTTTCACCTGACATCCCTCTCAGCTTTTAATTTAACTTGGATCAAAATCTGATCCAAAAAACTTCGATTTCAATTAATCAAACCTGATCCAATATATGCAGTCAGTGGATTTATGCACAACATTTTGGAGAAGATTCATTGAAATCAAACCTTTCATTTGTCCCTTAAAAAGCCCAGGCTTTCATTTGTTTATGTAGCATGTAAATGATGAATTCTGTATGAATTCCACCCACCACAAGAAAAACTTTTGAGCTTTTTTTTTTTGCTTTCAGTGGAACAAATCTTTCCCTTGAATTTTCTTCTATGATTCAAACACTTTCAGAAAATATATAATAGGATAAAATTGAACTTTGCCAAATTGCAAACATCAATTGAAAAGAACACAACGACCAAGAAATTGTGGAGTTTCAAGCTGCATTCTGAATTTTATATATCCATAAAGACACTTATCACATTCCTTGTTTTTGTCATGCTTGATCTTTTCAACTGTCAAGATCAAAAAATTTACCTCTGTAAGCTGTACCATCAAAAGAAACAGATCTTCATGTGACGACAACGGATACATAACCTTTCCAAATTGTAAGAGCGATACCAAAATGCTGCTTATCTTACTGAACAAACTACCTAACTACATAGAGCAGACCCAGAGTGTGCACCAGGTGTATCCATTCCATAAGCTCATCTCTCCTGCATAATGTGTAGGTCTAATATTTTAAACAGATCATTGCCTGAAGAGAAGCTCCAAAAAGGATGCTGTACTTTCAAAGGTGGCTTGTGATTGTTGCTACCTTACTCTTTCCCCTACAGGTCCAAGTTAGGATTTCCCTCCCATACTCGCACATCTTTTGCAGCCAGAATCAAAATTCAGCTGTTATAGCTGTTTTCTGGTGACTCTGTTTCTTCTTCTTTTCATTTTGCTTCTGTGACTTATTCAAAGCTTGGTCAGCCTTTGAGACAATTTTAGAGACTGTGAATCCAGCTTCTTCAAAAAGCTGTGCTCTATGAGGAATCAAAGCATTGCGTAAAACAACGTCAACTCCATCATAGGTCCAAACCCCTAACACTGCCTCTCCATTAAGTCCAATAGCAAACCAACCAATACCAGCTGCAGCAAGGTCCACTGAACTTGAATCCCAGCTATGACCATAAACATGGAATTGCTTTCTCACCCAACTGCCAAGCTCTTCCACTCGTTCCTCCCCAATTGGGGGCTAAAGCAAGCACCAATGCAGAAAGTGTCAAGGGTACCATTATACACAACCAAAATGCTGTAAACGAAAAGTGATATGAAACATGTAATTCCAAAGGTTGTAATATTCCAGGTAGAATATGAGTGATACAAAGCAAAAACTTGAGATAGAGCAGAATGGCATAAAAGGATTTCTACAGTGCATCACTTATATCAAGGGGAAGATATTAATTCATTTTAGCTCACCACACCTGTAACTGACGACCAAAATGATCCTCTAGCATTCTGTGTGCATTTTCAGTTCTCCCCACGTGTAATGGTAGATAAGGAGATGCCCAAACTGTAACATATAGAGATTCCACGGATGACTCTTCAATATCCAGCCTCATGAGTCCAGCAATGTGAACTGTGTGACCTGCCTGTCACATTCAAATGTATGGACATTAGCCTTAGCCACAAAGCATGAAAATATAAAAGGAAACAAAACTAAAACCAGAATTTTGCAGCAGCATGCCCCCATTTTCCCATTAACAAGAGAACATCTGAAACTCAAGCAGCCAATAAAAAAAAAATCAAGAATCTAACCCGACCAAAATAAGAAACAAATTCTATTTACAGACCATAACAAGAGCAAATCTCTGGCTAAACAATTTAGGTAGCTAGCACTTTTGACAGGAGAAATTATATGACATATTGAATAATGCCATTTTGAGACTAACCTTGATTCTATACGTTCTCGGTTTCAACTCCTTACTAACATAAACAAGCTTCTGCTCCTCCCTAGTCAACCTAGTTGTCATTTGATGTGGCTGCAAAAGCCCTGGAGTATCAAACAACTTTGCCTGCCCTGGCAGCACCCCTTCCACTCTTACTATCCCCAAAGTTGTCCCAGGCACTGGTGCCTCTGTCAAGAAACCAATCTTCCCACCAACACACTTCCCAATGGCATTGATCAATGTACTCTTCCCAGCATTTTGGGCCCCCACTGCCCACACAGTCCCTCTAGGCCCTGCCATCTCCACAACATCCTCCACCAAACTCTTCACTCCCCAATCCCTCACAGGACTCACAAAATGCAATTTTGCAATCTTACTAGCTCCACCCTCCCTCGCTCTCTGCCTCACCCAATGTTCAAATCGTGTAGGTGACAAAGAGCTCGGTAAAAGATCAATCTTAGTCACTACAAGTACAATCCTAGGCACATTTCCAGATTTCCCCTGTTTCCAAGCTGTGTAATTCTCTTCAGTTACGTCAGATACAAGTTTCGCTACTTTTCTTGGAAACGACCCATCAAAATCTGATGCATCAACCACCATTAAGACCACTGACCGAGCTCCTGACACTGATCCCAATCTCCTGCCAACGGTATGATCAAAATCAAATTCTGGCAACAAATTCTCCACTGTTGGATCCTTCACCTTGCCATAATGGCGCAGTGAGTGGCATCTAGCGCAAACCACAGGCTTTTCAGGCATTTCTTTATCTAGGTTCTCCTCCTCAATGCCAGGGCTTTCACCTTTTTCCTCTGAAAGCACACCTTTCTTGAGAAAGACTGTGAATTCAGGTTCCGTTGACACAGGTACCAAGTAGCGGGAACCTATTTTGAGCATTAGGTCCTTGGTCTTCGTTCGGGGATTGATGAAGAAACCAGGGTGTTTAGGGTCTGAGTCCTGCATGTGTACCCCACATCCTGGGCAAACAACATTGTGGGGAGTGGCATCATCATAGTTTCCATCTCGATTCAGGGTCAAAGATTTAGAAGAAGAAGACTCCTGCTTCTGCTGGTGTTTTTGATGCTTTTTTGGTGGTGATGGTGTGGCTGTAGATTGAAAGGAGAAATGGTTGGTGACGAAGAGGAGGTGTGGAGTCAGGTTGGAGATTTGGGGCTTAATCATGGGCAACAGCGGAATTGAAGTTTTGGCTCCTGTAGTGGAAGTGAAGGATTCGGTAAAGAAGAGGGAGAGAGAAGAGAGAGGTTTGAGTTTTGATGGAGAAAGATTTCTGGCTCTAATGATCATTTCTCGTTGCTTGCAATTGCTCTGAGTTTCTTCCTTTTCTCCGTAGTACTAATTAAGGACCAACGTGCATTGCACATGAAACCTTTAAAACAAAGGGGAAAAATGTTTATGGCCTGAACAATTACAAGATATAAAGAATGATAATGTTGAGATACATTCTATTTTTACCTCATAAAAAATTTTCAGTAATTCATAAATCGCTTTCTTACATACAGTTCCTCTATATAATGTCTGGCAATACTTAAAGAACAATGTAGAATAACACAGACGACACTGAACAGCACCAGATACCAACAGAACAAAGAAACATTATATCTCAATTAATCTTCATAGTTTCCATTGAAAATTAATCAATGCGAAAACATAATTGAAGCTAAAGCATATCATAACTAGATCAAGTTATAGTGGTTTTGACTACTTGGAACCTATTTTTATCACTCCCTGGAGCAGATGAGCAATGATAATCTCATTTGTCCCCCAGCAGATAGTTACTGGTTGCAGAAGCAAATCATCAAATATATTTCCAAACTTATTGAGCAAGAAAGTACCGCACAACTAACACACACATCAAAATTCTACTATCCCTTCGTAAGCCCAACGATTAAGGACAATGAAACTCTAAGAGAGATAAGGATTTCACCTTATGTTTGAAACTTGAATTGCGAAATAGGAAGTAAACTGACTGCTGCCCCTTGTTATTGATTTTTTGAAGAAAAGAAACAGAGAACAGCAAAATAGAATTTAAAACACGAAAATCAACTAAGCCCCAACCCAACAAAAAAATATATAAATTAATTGCGATATCACAGTGATAACTAAATATAAAACACAAGTAGAATAATAAGAAAACAATTAAAGAAAGAATCCTCACCGCTTTATGGAAGAAATCGAAAATTTGGAGGGCGAAACAAACGGCAGGAAAGAAGAAATTTTGCCTCGGATGAGAAATGGCGGAGAGGAGAAACTAAACGGAGGAAATGACTGTAAGGGATGGCTGAGAACAAGGCGGCTGAAAAGAAATGGAGGGAAAATGGAGAGAGAACGGAGCACGGAGTGAAGAGCGAAAGAGCGCCAGAGCGGCTGATGTGAGAACGAACTAGCCCCCTTTGGGTTTCTACTCTCTAAACGTTGCCCACGTATAGTGGCATTGTTGTAATTGTGACAAAATTTATATTATAATCAAAATATTATTCAATTTTTGATATAACAAAGGAATATTTATTATGAATATTATTAAATCTTAGTATTGCATTAGGTTTTAATATAAAATCAATTACCTTAGAAATTATAGTGAAATATTTAAAAATATGAATCAATATTATTTCAAAAAACATAAATGACATCAACATGCACGGATATTATGTACCTTATATTTTAACTGAATAACCATCATTTTAGTAAAAAAACAAATTCTCCTTCTCAGTGTTATTAGGTTGAAAATTGTAGAAAACAATTAGTGTATGCATATTTACATGATGGCAATATATTAATGCACATACTACCAATTGTATAAAATAAACATGTCCATTAGTAAAGATTACATACTATTTTATTACAAAATTGTGTAATTCGTTAAATGCACTAGTTTACAAGTATACAAAGACTTGAACTGCAAATTCTTATATTTAGATGTTGCCATGTCTACTCTTACTAAACTAGATTTTAGTTAAATCTCAAAAATTGAAAATTTTAATATAATATTTTACCTTTTATATTTGAAGGAGCTAAGTTGCTTATTAATGCAATTAATTGTTTAATTAAGTTTTTGAAGTCAGTGCAAAAAAAATATCATTGTTGTTTATTTATTTGGATATGAATATTTTTGTAACTGCCAATGTCTATCAATCTTTTGGAACTTGTACTATTTGAATAATTTAAAATTCAGTAAGTAAATTATTAAGCATTAATTTAATTTTTTCTTAGTGTAAAATTAGTATAATTAAGTCTTGTATATACATTAATTTGGTTGGTTTTTAGAATTTTAAGAAAAGGAAGATTATTTCAAAGTTGATGATTAATTTGTGTCATTTTAAGTTTAAAATAAAAAAAAATTAAAGAAACTAAAAACTCAGTTAAAAAAATAAACCTATAAATAATTCAAAATAGTTTAATTAAAACCATGAACTAATGGTGGCATTTGATTATGAGAACAAATATAATTCAATATTTAAACTAAAAATCATATCAAGAAACTTTAGAACTCGGATTGAGTTAATTAATTAAGGTTTTAGCTAGCTACCAATGATAAATTGATCCTAAAAAAAAAAATACATATGAAGATGAATTGAAAAGAAATAATTATTACCTTAGAAAGAGCCCAATAATAAGAGATAATAATTAAATTAATGGAGCTGAAAGGGACATACAATGAAAAATTGAAAAACAAATTAAAATGAATAGTAATTTAGAATATTTTGTTTTTCTACTATATTTTTTATTTTGGTACGTTGCATAATTTTATAGATTTTTCTAAAAATGAGAAACTAACCATATAAGTATTTACATTTTAGCATTTCTTATCAAAACAAGTTTGTACCTTCCTATATAATAAATAAACATGATGTGCATGATATGATTTAGCTTTCGTCTCTCAGTGTCAGTGTCGGCTCAGCAGAGTGCTTTCGCCGTTGGTGTTCTTGACCTGGGCAAGACTTAAGTTGTAAGGTATGAATCCGAAGCTTAAATTCCAATCGCAATGCTGAGGGCTAAAACGACTATCAATTGTCATGAATCACGAAAATTAGGATGGTGAGTATGAATTATGTCAAGTGGAAAATCCAGCCAGAGTTACGAATGATTTGCTTTCTACCGAGAACTGGGCCGACACGGCCACCCGAACCGGCCTGCATAGACTTGGTTGACCTCCATATTGAAATGCAGCGTGGACCAGCCTAGTTTCAATTTTCAATATCCAAACAACGCTATATTTAGACTTGGGACGGTTTAGCAAAGAAACGACCGGGAGAATCTCTTTATTATTATTTTCTCCAGTACAAATTATATAGTGGTGCAAGAGACATCGTCCGATGGTGGTCCATCTTGCTTTTCCATTTGCCACACGTCCCGACAAGAAATTCTGGCTACACACCACGTGTCCGAAGAGCACTATGGACAGTCATTTCGTTACTTACTAATAGTACCCAGTTTGAAGATGCTAATGAATGCCACGTGTGTCTTTTGTTTGTTCCTCCGATAGAGATATGACCGTCGTGGGCGGTACACGCACCAAATCATATGATTGACAAGCTCAGGTCTTGTCTCCCTCCCACTGACAAAGACAGCCTGCTTCTGTTTCTGGGGACTTTCCGAGTTTCCTCCCTTCTCCCGCAAAACGCGTCTGATTAATTCAATGACTCTGCCAGACCCAAAGAAATTGTATTTTTTTCTTATGTATAGAATAATGAAAGAAAATTGTTAATTTTCTCTTTATCAATCCCCCCCTTTTGTTCGATAAAGATCTCCTAAATAAGATCTGTCTAAGCAAACGGTGATTGCCACATGCGCTTTGCTGTTGATGTTGGAAAGAAAGCACTAAAACTGTTGATAATTTAAAAGTAAACAACTCAAAATATCTACAACAAAAGTAATAGATTAGGGTATCATATTGTCAATTTGATGTAAAAGCAAAAGATTTTGTTAGTTTAATATCTGTTGTACATTATCGTGTGAAATTGACTCATGGGTCTCAATTTAGGCGTTCTCCCTCCTCATTTTAAAGAGCAAGTGTTAAATTTACCAACGTATTTTCACAATTACATCTTGGAATTGAGTGTAATGATGATATATATCAATAACTTTATGGGCTATAAATGAAATGGGCTCAAGCATCCTCAAATGCAACAAAGTGACAGACTGATCATTGCCTCAAAGCCTCAATTTATGCTGCTCCTGACAAAATATGTTGGTTTCGCAGACAAGAACATATCCTAAGCAACTGCTACGATCTTTTACTCTTTCATTTCTCTTCTCGTCATGAATCGTCGTCTCCTTCTCGGTCCATACCCCAGAGACGCGGACCGCGTGCTCACACATCAGAAGAACCTTTGCACAAATGAAGGACAACAGTTGTGCTCTTGACGTCTTTCCACGTGTATTGCAGCTACTTGCTGAGCTCAATTTCTTATTCTGAATAATAAACAAAGGCGCACTCGTGTCCCGTACTCAACTCCCATTCAACACGTCGAACCCTTTAGATATTTTTGAGCCACGAAAAAGATATTTCAGATTTTGAGAAATCTTTGAAACGTGGCGAGTGATCCCCACCCTCAATCTAGCAGCTGACGTTATTCCTCGATTCTCCAGCACGGCATTTCAGCAATGCTGTATTAACACGCGTCTCCCTCTTTCCAATTAAGTCCCAACACGTGTTTCTGGTTCCCAGCCCAGGATCTAGAGCAGTAAACCATCCATTTCTCAAGCGACACGTGTCCTCCAATTGAGTTCCGGACACTGGTATTTAGGTGCTTTTAGTTACCATCGCTATCCCGTGTTTGTGTTCTCCCAAAAAATGAGTGCCACCCACAGACGCAGACTCAACCAACCGAGTCCTGACTCGGAGGACTCGGGGATCCTTGACGAGCGTATACTTCTTCTCGTCCTTGAGTCGATAAAATGGGATTTGCAGGTCATTTGCGTAACTGCCTCGCTGAACCGCAAGCTTCGAGCTACAGCGAAGCGCTTACTGTGGCGACAGCTCTGCGTGTATCGCGCACCGCGCATGGTAGCAACATTGGCTAATGGTGCGCCCAATGGAAGAATAGGTGGCGGGTGGGACGCTCTCGCAAAGCTCATGTTCTACTGCTGCGGTTGTGAGTCAACTCGCCATTTCAAGCTGAGTCGGCCGTCCCCGAGTCACTTCGCGAGAGCTTCTCGATTTTCGAAGACCTCGGGTCGGAGCTTCTTGTCCAAGAAGTGTCGGGGTGATTTGTTGTTTGTAAGTGACCCGTGCGAGCATCCAATGGGGGAAAAAGAAGATGATTTGGGGATTTATCGGGGGGTATTTCGGGGATTTATGAGGTCCAAGACGAGAGCTTGCTTGATTAGACGACAAGTGGCGTTTGAAGAGAGAGTGAGGTGCCCTTATTGTGGCACCCGCGTGTGGAGCATGACGAGGGCTCGGCTCGTGCCCAAGAGCGCGGCTAGGCGACTGGGGTCACGTGACGGTAGGTTGGAGTATTTTGTTTGTGTGAACGGGCACTTGCATGGGACTTGCTGGCTCGTGCCTTTGTCGTCTGATGAAGAAGTTTGTGACGATGATGATGATGATGGAAGTGAAGAGATCGACGGGGAAGCATATAACCATTAGACAGTGACAATTGGAAGCACGAGCTCGTCAGGGGAAGATGTTTTAGGAGATGAGCCCATCAATTGATTGCTAAACGTGTTGTAAGTACAGACAAATTTTGATATATTACCCAGCGTATTTACGAAAGAACAGATTGGCTTAGAATGACTAATGGATCAGGCTGGGTCTCTGTCCTTTCTTTTAACTATGACGTGTCGATAAGAGATTGGGTCCCAGAGCTATGGGCTAGCCTGAAGTCTCCACCTGTTGATAGACACTGATTTTCTTGGGCTTGAGGTATGAAAACTAATTGACGTGGATTGTCATGAGAGAGGAATTTCTATGAGATGTATAGTAGGAACGGCGGATTGGGAGACTTGGGATAATTTTCTGTAAGCTATCAGTTGCTTTCATTGCATGTGAAATCCATTTGTTTGCATGTGCCTTCGTTATTTTCATTTCACCCATGCTGTTGCAATCACTTTTTTGTACTTATTTCATGTGATAATGCTATTGTAATAAACTACTATTTCATAATTCTTCTCCTTTATTTCCTCTTCTATTTCCTTTGTAGACATTAAAATTAGAAATTTTGCAACTTTCGGTTTAAATCGTAACCACGTGACCACATGATCTATTATTATTACATGTAATAAACCAACCATTTTAGATTCTTTAGTTTCACATTTTAAAGGAGAGTTAGGGCTTTTTTACCATGTTTTTTTTTAATTTAAAAATTATTATGAAGTTTTTAAGAAAAACAATAACTTTTAAAATTAAATTAAAAGTAACTTTATTTTTTAAGTTTTTTTTGTAGATGAATTGTTTAGCAAAATAATTTATATAAGTTTTAATTTTGATTAAAATTAATGTAAAAGTATTTGATAAATTATTTTCTATTAATCACCAATTTTTTTTATTTATAATGAAAAAAGAAATTAATTTATTTTTATTTATTTAAAATAAAATTTTGAAAATATAAAAATTATTTTTTATATAAAGTAAAGTTTATAATTAATAATAAATTATAAAAAATTCCACAAATAATTAATTGAGAGAGGAAGTGTATTTTTTGATACGATAATGTTGAAATTATTTTTAATAAATAGGGACATTTTTTGAAAAAATAAAAATTCTCTTAAAAAGCTAAACATGCTTTTTTTAAATAAAAAAAAAACTCTTTTTTTTACTTGATTTTTTTTTAGCTTATTTACTTTTTAAAAGTAGAAATCAAGTTTGAAAAGTTTTCAAAATTTTTTTTAAATAATAAAATTTTTAAAAAAAAGCCTTAAAGAAAAATTTCAGAAAGAAACTTTAACTTCTTTAAAAATACCGTAGCTTTTTAGTATATACCTTTTTCTCTCAATCATTCTCCCTTTCCTCTCTCTCTCTCTTCCTTTGGAAATCACCCTTCTCTAATACAAAATCGTGATCTCCCTCTTTTTACAAAGATCATTGAAAAATAAAAAATCCAATAATAGAATAACAAAATATAATTTTTTTTATTCTTATAAAAATTAAGAAAAAAAACTTAAAATTTAAAGTTGCATTCAAGTGCTATTTAAAGGTTTTCTCTTTTTTTTTCACAAAAAATTTAGTATTATTACTATTATACAAGTTTAAGAGCTATTTTGTTTTTTTATAACTTTTTTTAATTTTAATATTTGAAATCGTATCCATTTTAGTTTATTAAGTGATTGAAGATGTCATGAATACTCTTTATATTAATTTTAACTAACATTAAAGTTTATATAATTAATTTTGTAAAATAATTTATTAAACAGCTTTAGCTTAATTTTAAAAACTATTATCTAAGTCAACAGACTCTTAAAAAAAGTATTTTTTTACAAAACTTTTCAAAATTTTTTTTATCCAACTTTTATTTTTAAAAGATAGATAAACCGAAAAAAAAAAGTCAAATAGATACTTAATAGACAACAAAAAAGTAGTTTAACTTTCAAACATCCATTAAAAAGAGTGATTGCAACTTAAAAGCATCAAGAATTTTCCGGTAACAAAACATGAAGGCGATGGAGGATTTCAACTTCCTTTGTTAATGCACTTTAGACGAATATGTTCATGAAGCTTGTATTTTTGGCTAAGCTTAATGTTGAGGGATTTTTCATTTTTTCGGTGATGAAGAGAGAAGTAGTGTTACAAACAAGTAAAACAATAAATATGGAGAGGCAACAAAGAGAAAGATTAGAATAGTCCCTCGAGAGGTGTTGATGAATAAAATGTAGACAATAACCAGAGAGATGGCAAAACAAGGCAGAGACCAAGACAGAGAAATGCCAAGTAGAGAATAAACTCAAATTTGATTGAGAAAGATAGTTCCACACTTCCTTCTTATAAGGCTTGTTGCTAAACGAATATGTATAGGTTCTATAAATTTTCATCGGCAAAATGCTCTAATAGTTTCGATTAAGGCTAATTTAGTTTGAACTAAAGAGTCAGTTTCTATAAGACAAGTTATTAATATTCCCTGTAATGTGAGTGACAAAATTATTTTACATTGTTTGATAAGAGAAAAAAATTAATATAATATAATAATATATTATAATCACATTGTCATTTAAAAATAATGTAATTTTATTTTACCATTTACTTGTTAAAGTAAAAAAAAATTGATTTACTGTTACTATCCTTCTTCCTTCAACAAAATAGTCGAATCTCTTTCCCATTCTATTCTAAAGCTAACCTAACCGTTGGTCTCTTCCTCCTCCTCCTCCTTTTTCATTTTGGTTTTGAAGTTTTTATTATTGAAATCAGTGTAATGTATTGTGTTTTAGTGAATAGAGAGGAATTTTATGATGACCAAATTTCTATTCTGTCAAAACGTTTCATCATTCGGGATTTTCTCTTTTCGCCGAAGCCTCCATCACAGGGCAGTATCTCCAATTTTGGCAAGTGCTAAACCCACTAAAACTAGACATTTGGATATTAATAATATCTTTAATCGATTTTAATTAGCATGCTTGAACCAAATCAATCTAGCCATTAACGCACCCTTATCTTAATCTTCTATACTTGCCAGTTGCCTCTAATTATATTGCAAGCAAACGCACACAAAATGTAATTAGTGCAAGAAAAGACAAGAAATTAATATTAGCATTAAAGTAATGTTTCAAAAGTAAGGAAAGAAAATAAAGAAAAAAATATAATTTGTGATAGAAAACAAAATGCACAATCAATTATAATGGGAAAAAAAATGTATTTGATGGTATTAGCTTAAATTGAAAATCAATTATGAATTTAATATGGAAGCTCTTAAAATGTCAAAAAATGGTCAAAGTCAAAGTGTCAAAGGGGTAATTCTGTCATAATGGTAGAAATTTTCAAATATTTGGCTTTGGAGTTAATGTGAGTTGTAACGACACCAAAACTGGTTCCGTGCTTTTTGCCGCCATATCACTTGCGCTCTTCCGTTTCTGTCTCTCAAAACCCTCCGATCTCAAGAAAAGCCAACAAGAAAAGAGGAAGAGGAAAACCCCACCTAATTTCACCTCCGTCTACGAAGACGATCAAATCCAATTTCGTTCATTGCTGAGTTTCCTCGATTCAGTTTTCCGTATAAGGTTCCATTCAAAAAAGCCACGCCATTGTCAGGTCCGTTGCTCCCTCTGTTTTCTCGCTATTTCCAAATCTTTTAAGATGGTGCCTAACATTTTTATGACTTTTGGTTAGGGAATAAGGAAGGAAATGGCGACTCTTCAAGACATTACTGTCTCAGCTGCTATTAATCTTCTCTCTGCATTTGCATTCCTAGTGGCTTTTGCGATATTGAGGCTTCAACCGATTAATGATAGGGTTTTCTTCCCGAAATGGTACCGTAAAGGGATAAGAAGCAGCCCTACACGATCTGGAGCATTTGTAAGCAAATTTTTCAACTTAGATTGGAGGACATACATAAAGTTCTTGAATTGGATGCCTGCAGCTTTGAGAATGCCGGAACCTGAGCTCATTGATCATGCTGGACTTGACTCTGTTGTCTATATCCGAATTTACCTTCTTGGGTCAGTTCTTAAATACCCGTTCGATTGTTATTTGGCTATTTGCTTTTTGCTTTCGGAAAAAAGGTGTTTCGTTTTCGAGTATCAAATGCATGATTTTTCTTTACACTATGGAATTATTACGTTAGAGTTAGTGCAGTTCTTACAGTTCCATATTGTTGTTTCCTATGATACAGCAGTCTAATATGACGACATTTATGTGCAGCTTGAAAATAACTGTCCCCTTAGCAGTACTGGCTTTCTCGGTTTTGGTCCCTGTCAATTGGACGGGGGGGACATTGGAGCATATTAGGAATTTAACGTTCAGCGATATTGACAAGCTCTCAATATCAAATATTCCAGATGGATCAAAAAGGTCAGGAACAGTTTTTTTTTTCTTTCACTTTTTTCTTATCCAATGCAATAATCTGGTTTTCATCGGGAATTCACAATATTGGCAAAGATAGGAGTCTCAGTTTGATTTGTATTTATACTCCACCTACAAAGAACTTCCCTATCATACTAGTGAAGTAATTTTTGCTCAAAGATGAATGTGAGACAGGATTTTACAATTTCAATAGCTGTGCTTATATATACGCAGCACTGACGAAATGGGTTGCAAACTACACTAAATACTGAGTTACTGTACGTGAATTTTCAAGTGTTCTGAAATCTGATTTTTACATTATTTTTGTTTGGTGCTACCTATTCTCAAAGTCCTCATGTAATTACTTACATTCTTGGGTTGAATGGTTCAAACCTCTGGTGAATCATTCTAATATCAGTACAAGGCAAACTCTTACTGCCATCATTCTATCATTTTTGGGTTAAATTGTTCAAGCCTCTGATGAAATTTTATAGATGACTAAACGAAAGAGTCATATGTGCATGAGGGGGCATGTTAGAGATAAAAATCCAGTTTTCGGACTCTCACCTAAGTAAAATATTACCTTGTCTCTTCTGCTTTTCAGCTTTTGCAAAAACCAGAGTATTATTGTATATAAAAAAGTTGCAACTCACATAAAATTATCTGTTTCATATCTCAGTTTGGAAAGAGTCTAAACTTGCCCTTTTCAGGTTGTGGGCACATATCACTATGTCATATGTGTTCACCCCTTGGACGTTTTATGTGCTATATACCGAATACAAAGCTGTAGCTGCTATGAGGTTGCGATTTCTAGCATCTGAAAATCGTCGTCCTGATCAATTCACAGTGAGTTTTTGGCTCTGTCCAGTGCTTAATACCTATATTGTTGTTATGCACATATGACTCTTTCTTTTATAAATCTAATCTATTTACAACTGTTGACTATCTTATATGGGTTGATTTATTGAATGCACTAGAATTTCTGCCTACCAAGGAAAAAAAAAAAGAATCAACTACATACATGATATCCAAATACTGGCAACCTATATCTAAGTTAAACATTACAAGTACTTGGAGTGTAGAACTAGCCATAGCTTGAAAAGGCTGTTGTTAAAAGTTCCAATCATCATTAACTGGTATTTGGTTCTAATTAATTGCAGGTTAAGATTTTTTTTTTCATTTTGATGAAAATTTCAGAGACATGCAGACGTCTCTGACTATAACAATCACTCATTAATATCTAATCAGATTTCAGATGTAAAGTTATGCTTTTTAACATGTACATACAAAAATCATACAGTGAAAATGGAGAAAGTTTACTTAATATTATTTTAGCACATAGATAAAGACATCCATCTTGTATAATGTGAACAATCATATACCTGGTTAACTGCTATTGCTATTGATCAGGCTGTGGTTTTTTACGTGAAATATCTAATAAATTTGGTACTCATATTTGAGGTTTTCCCCTTTCTTTTCTCGTCCCTCAGCTATTTGATGTTGCTGGATCTTCTGTCTATGTAATTATTTAGGTACTTTCCTTGCATCATTGCTTGGGTAACTGAAAATGTTTGTTTGGGTACTTAGGGATGCTCACTGAACCTTGGGCTACATGAAGGAAGTACCCTTCTCCCATTCGATAGACCACATCCTCTTATGCCTAGGATTCAACGTTGAGAGCCAAACTGCAAGTCCTAAATTATACCATTCTGGTCTCGTTGAGGACTTGTTCTACTCAAAGTTGATAGAATAAAAAGGATGTTTGCTGTTTGTGTTAGATAGAGGGCAGTTCTGACCGTTATATGTAGCTGATGTCATGTTTGACACAATCAACATACATGTGCATGCCTGCAAAAAAGTTTATATCTCATCCCAGATTTACTACTTAAATATAATTTTTCTTTCTTTTACATGTTTTGCAGGTTCTTGTAAGAAATGTTCCTCCTGATCCTGATGAATCAGTTAGTGAGCATGTCGAACATTTTTTTTGCGTAAATCACCCTGATCATTATCTTACTCATCAGGTGTGTTTCCTTAACAAGTTGTGTATACTATGATAATTCTAAGAAGCAGTAGTGCATGAAAGAAGGAAAATCGGTAGTACTAAACAGGGAAATTTATAATAATAAGTTGGAATTTTTGGAACTGCTGGTGTCTATAGTGTATTACATTTCTATTTGCAGTGACATAAATTTCTATAACATATTACTGCTTTACTACGTAACTTTGATAGGTTGTGTATAATGCCAATAAGCTTGCAACATTGGTTGCAAAGAAGACGAGTTTACAAAATTGGTATACTTACTACCATAATAAGTATGAGAGAACTTCAAAGAGGCCGACCAAAAAGGTAATATCTTTGCATGAACTATCGACTTATATTTGGCTCCATGTTCCTTTAGTGGAGTAGTTTGTTTAATGTGTACAGGAAATTTCATTACTGCTCCATGTTGATTTTCAGCAGTCTATCATTATCCAAGTTTCGTATTATTATAGACAGGTTTCTGCGGTCTTTTGGGCTCTAAAGTCGATGCAATCGATTATTACTCCTCTGAGATTCAGAAGCTGAGTGAAGCAGTAAGTTTCAACGCACTGTACTAGGGATTATTTTTTTCGTTTCATATGTTGTTTCTAGCTATGCTTTGTAACTGCTATTCTTACTTCAACAATTATAACTATCTCTGTTTCTGGCATCATCATTCTTGGCATAATGGGAACAAATTTAACAGTGTTAACATGAGTCCCCGGTGATGAAATTGTCATGCGGTGAGGTAATGTTTAGATGGTTAAAGTTTCCAATGAAGAGTCTATATCTATTGGCTATTGCTATGTTGTATCGCTTGGTTAATAAGCACACTCTCCCCCAAATGACCCTTCCAGGCACACATGAAA